TATTGGCACTGAATCTTGTTTTCAATTGGAAGATATTCCGTGACTTCAATCCAGTGATCATATTTATAGGAATCTGCTGGGAGGGTGCTGTTTCTCATACAAGAAAATCTTTACCAAACAAAAGGTTGTCAGTGTCAAAAATTGCACTGCAAATTGATGAAAGGAGAAAAGCAATTCCAGGAAGAACAAAGAAGTAAACGTTTCCATATATCAGAAGAGACCCCGATTCAGCTTCCATTTTTGTATTCCACCACCCACATTTCCCCCTTTAAACCAAGAATTCCAGGGTTGACCACATGAAAAGAACCTAGTTTGGGTCTAGTTTGTTTTGGAAATATAGTTTTTTTGATGAAGCTGCTTAGAAATCCCTTCCATCCACTGACACATGACACAATTCAATAGGATACAAAAACCAAGCTATTATTATCAGCAATAAACGTTGTCAAATTCCATGATATATTTCACAACTTATGTTCATTTTTCTTACTTTGAGCCTTCAGCAGCACTAGCTGTAGCACTCCAAATAATGGGAATACCTGCTGCAACTACTTTACAATTCACACTGATATTTCTGCCAATACAATTCAGTGGTTTAGCATTTGTGATCATTACCTAATGAATAAGACAATGAATCCTTCTCCATCACCTGTAGATTCTCATTTAATCCAATAGTCCTAATACAAAATTAAAACACACGCACACACACACACACACATTTTTCTCTATATTCTGTTTTGCCAAATTGCTCTTAATGAAAATGTGCAATGCCAAACCTCATGTTGTATTGTTTGTTCTACTGTTTGCCACAATGCTTCCTTGTAAGGATTTCTTTCAAAAATGTACTTTCTAAAACATAACTCATACTGTGTTAATACATCCCAGGGTGGGTAGGGCAAGAAGCAACAGCTGACTCTGGTTTATATTTATTTTACTACTTATTTAATATATTTGTATACTACTTCCCATTGTAAATCTTGGAACAATTTGTAATAGAGTAATTAAACCCAACAAGTTTAAAAGGGCATGAAAGTGACATGTTCATTTAAAGAGGTAGTATCCAAGTGTCACTGGGCAGGCAATGTATTTCTCTAGAAACACAAAGATGCCCTCGTGAGCTTCTCAGTGGCAGATTCAGATGAGTTTCAGAGAGATTAGCTGCTTTTACTGCAGATGCAAAACAAGCTTTTATATTCGTGAGAATCAGAAATCCTGCAGAACCTAGGAATGCTTCTAGATCAGCTCCAGGATTAAACCCTATGTCTCTTTCTTCCAGCCTTACATAGTAATGAACTTTTTATTGCTTGTTTCTCAGCAAGAGCACTTGCACAGTGTTTTGATAATGGTTTTGTCTGATTTCTGACTCTTTGTACTTTGCTGGCTTCAGCCCTCACAGGTGGGGTGGGAAAGAAAAATAAAATCAAAACTGTTCATGCAACCATTCATCTAGGGAAGGCCTAGACAAAGAATAAGGGCTTCAGCAACTGCCTAGAAAAGGTTAATAGGTGGGTCATGAATTTCAGGGGAGAGCACATTTCAGGGTGCAGTTACTGAGAGAATGCACTAACCCTTTTGGAATGTGCCGAGAAACTGCTTTTCAACAAGCACATTACAAAGCAATCAAGAGATGCAGTTAATAGAGTTCCATTAATGAAATTAATGACAAGAGAGAGGTTAGTCACAACAGGCCAGGAAAGAACATGAGAAGATATAGACTACTTACTGGGTTTTGGTCTCTTGTAATTGGTCATAGGGATGAGGCTTATTGGTGAATACTAGAACTTCTGTTTCACTGTACAGTGCTTGAATGAACTAGAAAATATTCTGAAACTATCAAGCAGATGGCAGCATCTGTTTGATCTAGGAGTCAGACCTAATTGTACTGGGATGGGAGACCACTAGGAACTCCCAAGACTTTAGACTAGACTGGAAGTTGAAAAATATTTTGAAGGGAACCCACTTCTGTAGTGATGCCAAGAACAGTGCTATCCAGAGTTGAGATTGACTCAAGGAAGACTATATTCTTTCAGCAACTGCTTGTATCTTTTCAACAAGTTATGCAGTGACATTTTATCAAAACAGGGTTATTGAGAAAATGGCCTCTTAAGATATTGCTCTAGGCAAAGCCATGAGGAAATTTAAAGTTTAAAACCAAAACAAAACCTAGAAACTGAGTTAGTTATATGAGCATGAGTCTGATAACTTTTCAGACTAACCAGTTTCATTAAAAGGCATATACTTACCGGATTCCTGATTTTTGGTTACCCTAGATTAACAGTGCTCTCCTCCTACAATGTATTTTATGAGCATCTATGCGCATATTTCATAAAAGTTTGCTTTTTTTGGTGAAGTTCTTTCCATACTTACTGTGTATGCCTCGTCCTAGGGGTACATAAGGTTCTGATCCTTCTCTACCTGTGTTGGCTGTAACAACTGAACAAACTTCAGTTTCCAACAGCTGCAAGCTTGCATATATCAGTATTGCTGTCTGATTCCTAGGCTTCTCTTGTTCCTCTGATGTGCTTAGTATTGGTAGAGCAAAAGTATGTGAACAAAAGAAAAGTCTTGCTCTATCAGGTCCATAGCTCAGCTCATCCAGCAGTCTGTCCCACAGTGGCCAACTCATGTGTTTCAGAGCTAGACAAAGACGGACAGGAAGGTGATATCACTCCTTTGATGCTGCTCACTAGCAGGTGATACTCAAAACCTGTCACCTGGATTATGGAGGTAGCAAGCAAGCATCAAGACTAGTAGGTTATTACTGTCTGATGTTGGGTTCAATGTTCTTGATTGCAGTAGTCCCAATATCTTGTACCCAAGCCCAGCTGCAAGGCTTCCATCTATTTTAAAATCTACTCTGTCATCCTCCCCGGATCTTTTTTTTAAAATAAATATAAGGTAAAAATCATTCTAAAGACTGACCATCTCATTTCCTGACAAATCTAAATAACTAATTTGCTCCTCTAAATCTTTTTGTGTGACTTACTTACAATTGATATTTCTTCAGGGATGGTGTTTAGTAAAAGACAAAATAGTGATAAAATATGGGCAAGAATTGTAAATTCCAAGGAAGATGTCCTGTTCTCAAATGCCCTTTGGTCCTGATGCCTTATGGGCTGTACTAAGGAAAATGGATATAGGAAGAAGTCTATCATCCAAATCTGTAAGCAGTACTCAGGGTTCACAGCTTCGCCAAGTGATGTATTCAGCAACCCATCCTCCTGTAGTTTCATTGGACCTGGAGCATAATTTAGCCAACATGAATCCTATATGAGCCAACATGAATCCAGTCCTATAAAACTTATCCACAAAGCTTGCCTTCTTTCACTCTGTGTTCAGCTGAGCTCAATACACAGTCCAATGAAGTCCTTCTGAACTACTGCATTCAGAGCAAAATCTTGGCACTGGTGCCTTCAACTAAGTAATTTAGTCACTCTTAGAATCCTTCACTTCCCATGCTGTTACTACTCAGAGAGAAAGGCTGTAATGCCTAGAAAGCAAAGCCTTAAATTTCAGTCTGTATGAAATCAGTAGAAGCTTCTATTCAATGCTATACTTTTAGGAAATAAAATTGGGGGAAGGGAGGCAATGATATCCTTGTATCCTATAAGGTGTAGCTTCACCCCTTCCAAGGCATAGTGATGGTCAGGATTTAGGATACAGTCAAATCCCTCAGACTTTCTCCCTTAGAAAGGAAGAAATGTCTATCTCCCAGCTGTCTCAATAGAAAGTAGCAAATAATCATTCTCAATAGTCATACTTCAAACTATTATTCAATTAAGATTACTGTATAGTGTTTATTCATGAAGTGAATTAGGAAGCAAAACAGTGGGAAGTAGGAGGGAACAGAAAAAAACCATCATATTTGAAACTGCAAAAGGGAAGCAAATGAACTCAGTTGTACCCTGGTTAGTCATTGGTCTGCACAAAGGTTCATTCAGTTTTTTCAGAAGAGTAAAACAATTAAATCTAATAATACAGTTGATCAGAACCATGCCAATGCAGTAATAATGCAACTGTAGCCATACAATCCTTTAGAATTAAAATACATGAATAATTATGTATTTTGTAGAATATGCACTCTATTTTAGTTTCAATAAAGGACACAAAAGACAATGTCCCAGCACATCCTCTGTAGTTTTATTTTGCAATTCATGGATGCCTTATTAATCAATGCAAGATGCATTCATTGAACTGGATTAATCCTGCATAAGTAATTTCTGAAATTTCCTGCTGAAGTTATTTTTCATTTCTGTGAACAAATAATTTATTTGGATTTTCATATATCAGGATCACAGAGATTTTCCACAGCTAGATTTTAATTTCAATGACATCTGAGTTGGCTTAAATATTAGGGCGCAGAGTTTTGCATGAGAGACTCTTCTAAAATCTGTAATTGGTGTGGAACACCGACATGCACAGAATAAATCTGACAAGGTTCAGGGAGCTGAATTCAGTTCCACTGATCAACATCTATGCTGCAGATTAACAGAATCATTTATGGCATTACAAGCACTCTAGAATTCATTAGTTTCCCCTCCCACTAACTACTCTGACCTCTAATACTACTAAGATTTCTTTAGCTGTCGTGAATTTAGAAACCTGGAACAAAACACAATACAAAATGCCCAGTTAAGTTCCTTTCCTTTCTTTCATCTTCTCTTCTCACACCCCAACAGTTTTTAATAAGCATAGGATAATGATTAAATATACAACTATATTGTTGTTGTTTTTTTAAAAAAACCCAGCTTTTCACTTACAAAGAAACATCTTTAAAAGAATTGGCCTTTCAAATCAAGATGTTCAAAATATCATACATACTTCGAAAAAATAAAAAAAATAAAAATCTGGCATTTCTATATAGGCATTCAGGCCAAAGAGACAATATAAAATGATTGTGGTTAATGGTCAGATTTTTATGTATCTAACTGATGAAAGCAATTTTGAAAAAATTAATAATGGATAATTTAAACATTCTTAAGCAGAGATTTGTCAGACAGGCATGTTAGTACATAAGATTTTATTTAAAGTCCCCTCACCCTACAAGCAAGCTTCATTTACACACGCATAATACTGTACAAAATTTACACTGTTGGTGTCTTGTATGATGTCCTTGGTCATGCCTTCCAGAGAGTTAAAAAGATTTACATATAATACTCATAAATTCTTTAATTATATTTGTCTTAAAAAAGAATTTTAAATGACAAGACCCCCTCCCCCGCTTTAAAGTGGCATTTTAACAGTGGCACATGACAATGTTCAGTGGTGGACACCCTGCTTTTTTGAAAGCCATAAAATATTCTTTAATGTAATGTTTGTGACAGGCTTCATTTTCACATATTTATATATACAGATATATATTTCTAAATACCATCCCTTCACCCAAGTGATGATTGCACAATGTACTATTTTACAAAGAATTCTTTGAATTGAATAACACAAATAAATACAACCTATCAGAGATTCCACAACATAAACAAAGATGGAATGAAGTTCCAGGATAAACATTTCATCTTCAGGAACTTATTAACAATGTTATTGTTTTCCCTTTTTTCCCTTTAGATACCATTCCTTCAACAAATGATCTGCTACATTGGTAAGACCAATTTTGGTGAAGTTATACACTATTAGTGGAGTTGACATTAGCAAAACAACTACAGGTATATTCTTGTAGTAATAATAACAATGACATAGTGATATGAGAAGACATTTAATATGCATTTTTAAAAAATTATTTTTGGAGTAGTCCAAATCTGATGGAATGTTATCTATGAATTACTTCTTTTATTCTGCCTATTTCTATGTTGCACCTTTGTGTCCCATTTGAACTTATGTACTGCCTTGCATTTTTGAATATACAATATTCATACAGATTACAAGCTAGACCTTGAAACGGACATACCACGAGTTTACTGAATTCCCAGAAACGGTGCTAATCTACATGAATTTAGGATTTGTATTGAACACTGTGGTTCAGAAGTAAAATCTATGGCTTGAGTTTATAAGCTGCTGAAATGAGATGCACATTCATAGCGTCCTAAGAAAGTCAAGATGTATCTATTTATTTATATTATGACTCAATCCCAATTTTACTCTACTCTTCCTGAGTCCTAGGCAATATAACTGCATAGTGCAAAGGCCCTCAGTTGGTTCCAGTGGAGGGAAGAAATAATAGAAGCAACACATCCCCAAAATTCTTGTACAGCATTGATGTGAAATGGTCCTGTCTTTCAGTCTAACATAGATATGGGATTCTTAGCAAGCAAGGCAAAGCCAGTTGCCTCAACCAGGCATAGGATTATATCTTGACTCCAGCAGTGCAAGATTTTCCTTGCATTGCTGCATTTTAATCCAACCCTTAAGAATAGGAGAAAGGAATTTCATTGCTTAAAGCCCGAACAAAATATAAATGAGTCTAAATTCCTATTAATTATTTCTAAGAAAATATGTATATAAACCTAGTAGCGAGGACAAACGTAGCCATTTTGGAACTGTGCTCGTATTGCATTTTCCCCTCTAAAAGTAGATCTAGCTGCTGAGTTGAGTGCTCAGAAGATTGAAGCTCAAATATTGGGCAGTAACAATAGAAGGAAACTACTGGTCTCCCCTTTCTTTTGCGAGCTTCCTGAATGTATCTGATTGCCACTGAAACCCCTAATTTGTCAAAAAGCCAAACAAAGACCAAGAATGCTCGATGGCCTGAGAATGCTGAGCATTAGTTAGGGGATGGGACATCAAAACACTGGAATAGGGAAATGGAGCAGGAAATCTGAAAGTAGGTAGAGATCAAAATTGAACTTTTTGTGGCAGTGCTCATTGTTCAGTCCAAACATTGAGTGCTGGGACAGGGGACAGGGAATCTGAAGCTGTAATGCTAGAAGAGACTCTTCTTCCGTCCAATGTTCCAAACAATTTTTTTAAAAAAAGATAACATTTGTCAGTGAAAACTGACCTCCTTGCCATGCATGAGCTATTGTATGTTAAACACTGAAGACAGTCAGAAATAAGTGAGCTTCTTGCTTATTTCCAAGAGTCTTCAAGAGTCTTTGAGCCTTAGCTCAATCTCAGCACTACAGTTTGAAGATATAAGTTGGATACAGATCCTTTGCATCTCTTGGTAGGGTTAGTTAACCAGCATGGATAATAGAGAACAAAATAGACCAGTGGTCTGATTTTATATAAAGCAGCTTTCTAACTTCTGTATGTTCTTCCCAACTTCTCTTTCTGCTTGTTTTCATCATTAGAAAGATATCTTTTGTGTACACTTTCATGAACTCTTTTTAATGTAAAAAGGAACAGACCACCCATTTGAAGAATGGGGGAAAGGCAGACCAAAGCCCAGCATCTGATTCACTGCTTATAGCTTAGAGGAGCCACTACGTTTTTATATCACATCTATTTCCATTCTGAAATGCAGATTTACAAGCATTCAGCCCCAAGCTTAAAATATTATAGTTAAAATTTAATTATAATATTTGTTGCACTCACATCTAAATATCTAAAATGACAGGGATGGCACCTGACACACAATAGTTGAAAGGAAGTATAGCAAAAATTCTGCAGTCTCTGCTGACTTGAATTCTGCATATACTGCCCACAAAGTTTAGAGTGTGTGTATGTGTGTGTGCATATTATACAGCTTAAACAGACATTAAACAAAGGCATGTAATCAACTGCCAATTTTTAAAGAATGGTTCCAAAGAGAACAATTTATTATAAAGAACATGAAGACTTCAGGAGGTATGTTGTTTCTGCACTTTTCTGCCCAAATATTTCTACATTGCATTTCCTCTCTGGAAGGTTACAACTGCATGTTTATCCTCAATATCTGCCTTACTTTCAGTTCGGTTTTGCTTTGCTCTTGAAGCTGCAAAGTGTATTTGGATTTATTTGAGAATATACGCTAGCTATGTGTATATTAGCTCTCACGAGTTAGGCCTGTATTTTTTTTTTTACCCTAGTATAAAGCTAGTGTATAATTATTTCAAAGTTAATAGATTAGGAAATTTGCCAATCTTTGCTAATATTATATATCACAAAATCCTAATCTTATAAAAAAAGCATTGCACTTAAATTCTGTCCTAGGAAATGAAAACTGAAGAACATTTTACCATTTTGGCAAAATAATTAAAACATTTATAATTATAAGAACATTTTGAACAATAATCAAAACTTCTTTTTTAAAACACTTTGAACAGTACATGCTTATATGCTATGGAAAGAAAGAAAACCAGAATCCGTGAACTTTTGGAGTAATTATTTTGGATTTATATCAGTGCAAATAATATTAAAGATTGGCACAGATCCTGAAAGCTGCTGTAACTGAAAGCACACTTTTTTTCAATTCTTAATTATGGGAACATTAGGGCAAAGTGCACAATGGGACAGCCAATTTGTTTGCAACAGAAGCATTACATCATTACCTCTGACAGTCTTCTTTCTGATGTTTGTTGCTTGCAGAGTATGTAAAGCAGCCATGGATTACAACTGAAATGGAGGAGACCATTCTGCAACTGAGTGCTTTTCAGTACCTCAATTCTGAATTACAAGTGAATATCATCATGACTTCAACACAGATCCCATGCAGTAAAACAGAATGCACAATAATGTTCTTGTTCATTTTCTTTAAATTTAGTATCAATATATGGGTCGGCAGCAGGGAAAAGATCAATCTGAAATGGCCATTTGTCAACATGTGCAGTGTTCCATGCGTCTAACCTACTTGTCTGACAAGATACCAATTCATCTGAGATGGGAGTTTGCTTAGTCCTTTTTAAAAATCATAAATGCAGGTGTAGGAGTAGGATCTTGCGGTCTGTGGTCCAAAGAACTATTCTTTAAAATAATTACGCCTCCCATCTTTCCTTTCCTGAATGCATCAATGTTCTCTTCTGTATTTCCAGAACTTATTTGTTGTATGGCACACATGCAGGAAGTATGACGGTAGAGCAGGCAGGACCTGCAAGTGGCTCAGCTACATCACCTTCGAGTTCTGTCCACGATCCTTTCTCAGGACTATAACAAATAGTAGAAGATTTGTAGGCTCCCTGTAATACAATATAGGCTTGTTTAATTAACTGATAAATATCAATTCAAAACTGAGATAATGGTAACTAGAAAAGAATAGGCTCTTTCTTGATTGTTCAAGAACCTGCAATGTATTACTCTTCAGAACAAATGTTCATACAACCTATTTGCTTCCAGACATAAGATCCTATTTTTAAAAAATGGCAGTGGAATTTTAGGGTTGAGAGTGGATAACGTGAGAAGTAATGAGAACCTGGTTATAATAATTAGAGGAACACTTATGAAAAAAAAATCAGAATAACATCACTACCTTCTTTTTGTGGGAAGCCCAATGAGGAATGGCAGGAGTCAGTTGGCTGATGCTGTACCTCCTCAGAGGTCAGCAGGGGTCAGACAGGTTATTGCTACCTTGCCAGATACCCCCCAAAAAACTATTCCTAATACCAGCTCTGACAATGGTCCTTGAAATTAATAAGATGTCCTTTTGATAACATGATGAATGTAACGTTACTTCCTATAGAGAAAAGAATACTGCTGCTTGATTTAGGAAACTTGCAAAAATGCTTATTGGGAACAAAGGATGAATACACCAATGCAGTAATTACAGTAATTCTAGCATAAGCTTATATATTCTGCACATGCAACATGGAATGACTGAAAGCTTTATGACTAGAGAACATCCCTTGCTCCCAAATGTCATACTCACTGTAATAAAAGCTTAAAAATAGGATTTTTCCAAAACAGATTACATTTCACTTAGATATTTGCCATATTACAAGGACTGTGAGAACAACTTATTCAGATGCTTATCATTCCTGGCAAGAAGTCATAGTCACAGCAATACATGGTTCGACTGAGGCCTTGGCTGCTGCATGGACTGAGCAGGCAACAGCAGCCTTGCACCTGTGTGATCCTGGAGAGCTTTCTGGGTTACAGAGGCACTCCAGGTTACGAGGCGGTGTAAGAAATGCGTAGGGCGCCACTGGAGGAAGACAAAAAGTGAACCAGCTGGAGCATGGGTGAGAGCTTTTCTTAGGCATGATCTCATGGTGATAAGGGTGGCGAAACTTTGACCTTGCCTGGTTATCTGGGAAAAGAGATAAAAGAGCCAGTTTGGTCTAGTGGTTAAGACACCAGGCTAGAAAGCAGGAGACTGAGTTCTAATCCCACCTTAAGCATGAAAGCCGGCTAGGTGACTTTGGGCCAGCCACCCTCTCTCAGCCCAACTCACCTCACAGGGCTGTTGTTGTGGGGAAAATAGAAGGAGGAAGGAATATTAGGTATGTTCACTGCCTTGAGTTATTTATAAAAAATAACAAAAGCGGGATAAAAAATCTAAAAAAAAAAGTTTGAATCTGGAAGCCATGATAAAGTGGGCAGGGTCATCAGGGAGAGGGTCTGGCTACCTATGCTTTAGATTCATGAGCCTCCTGGTTGGTTAAAGCCTCCCAGAAGGTGACATGCAGTTGTTAATGCTTCTTTATGGGAAGAGGTGGTGGCGCCTGTTTTGAAACAGGCAGTTAACTACCCACGCCTTAAGAGGCCATTGCTGGACCCAGTGGACCTGAACAATTTCCACCCAGTCTCCAACCTTCCCTTTTTAGGAAGGTTGTTGAGAAAGTGGCTGCAGCTCCAGAAGGCCCTAGAAGAAATAGATTATCTGGAATCTTTTCAGTCACATTTCAGACCAGGTTACAGCACTGAGAGAGCACTGATCACATTAGCTGATTACTTCTGGTGGGTTCAGGATGGGGGTAATACCATGCAGCAGCTTTTGATACCATCAATCATGGTACCTTTCTGGATCAGCTCAGGGGTTGGAGGTGGGAGGCACAGTATTATGGTCATTTTCTCCTTCCTCCAGGGCTGGTTTCAGTTGGTGTTGTTAATGGAAAGAGACTGAGCCCAAGGCCCCTGCTTTTTGGGATTCCTCAGGGCTCCACTCTTTCCCCACTTGTTTTTAAAACATATATGAAGCCACTGGAGTCATCCATTGACATGGGGAAAGGTCTCATTGGTATGCTGATGATACCCAATTATACACCTCTGCCCTGGGCTGACCAAGTGATGCTGTCTAAACTCTGTCCCAGTGTCTGCACACTGCGAGTCTGGATGGGGAGGAACAGGCTTCAGCTCAACCCTGTTAAGACTGCATGGTTGTGGGTTTTGAGGATCCCCCCAGATCCAGTGATCTTCCATGTTATTTCTGAATGGAATACCCAGACAGAGTTGGCATGCAACTTGGGGGTTCTTCTGGACACATGGTTCCTGCTTGAAGAGCAAGTGGCAGCCATGGTTAGGAGGACCTTCACACAGATCCATTTTGTGTGCCAATTGCACCTGTTCATGAATCAAGAGACCCTCCTCATGGTAAGTCATGCCTTAGTCACCTCCCAGATGGATCATTGTCATACACTCTACATGAAGCTGCCTTTGAAGAGCATTCAGAAGCTGCCTTTGAAGAGCATTCAGAAGCTGCAGCTGCTCCAGAATTATTATTATTATATTTTTATCCCACTTTTTTAAAAAAAATATTTGGCCAATTCCAGGCGGCAAACATACTTAAATTCTACCTCCTGTTTAACCCACAACAACTACCTTGTGAGGTGGGTTGGCCTGAGAAACAGTGACTGGCCCAAAGTCACCTAAGCCAGCTTCCATGCCTAAAGAAGGCCTAGAACTCAGAGTCTCCTGGTTTCTAGGCCAGCACCTTAACCACTACACCAAACTGGCTCTCAAATGCAGCAGCGTGGGCAGTTTTAGGTGCTTCACAATACGCTAATGTGACACTTCTTCTCTGTGAGCTGCACTGGTTCCCAGTGAGCTTCCAGGTACAATTCAAGGTGGTGACACTTATAAAGCCCTACATGGCATGCAGCCAAGTGACTTGCGGGACTGTGTCTCCTGACATTTCTGCTTGCCCCATCAGAACCGGAGAGTGGCTATGAACTGGGTCCCTTCTATTAGGAAATGTCATCTTGTGGTACCTGGGAGTTGTGTTGCACTGCTTGCCCTATGAACAGCATCCCCTCAGAGATCAGATGGCCCTGACCCTCCTGCCCTTTGGTAAGGCATTGAAGACCTGGATGTTTACCAGGCAGTTGGACCAGGATGCTGAACCAGCCTGGTGGTGAATTAGTTTATTTTGGTCTGTATGGATTGAAAATAGAATGTTTTGAACCCAGATGTATGCTAAGTTATGTATTATTATTGTTACTGGTACTACTACTACTACCACTTATTATTATTATTTAGGATGGGGTGTTTTTTTTGTATTGTCTTGTTTATAATCCTCTGTGCACTTCCCAGAGTGACTGCCATGAGATAGGTGGCTATATAAATTGCTTAAATAAATAAATAGCATGCTATCAAATTATAACCAGATGACCCAGTTTTAGAAAACATCATATTCTAATTGATACATACCATACTCCAGCTGTAGCCTCCAACAAGGTAAATGCTGTCATCAAGGACTGCACATCCAGGGCCACTGCGACCTTCTAAAATAGGAGTCTGCAAAATGTTCCACTGGTCGCCCTTTGGGTCATAACATTCCACAAGCATGACATCAAGGTGAGAAAAACCTGTATCACACATTCATAAAATAATTTGAACCCACTTATTTTAAAGTAATGACTATGGTCACTATTAAAAAGTACTTTATCAATAGCATAAAAAGACAATCTTTTAAAATGGTTAAAAATAAGAGGAACACGCCTGTTAAAATAAAACACTGCAACATTTTCCTTGGATTTTCTTCTGAAATTCAGCTAGCGTCATCACAGGCTATTATACTGAACTACAAATTCTTAATTATTGGCCATTATCCTACTAGCAAACTCATACTGACTTTTAACAGCTACAGTTGCTAGGGCTGTTAGCAACATATGATATGAAAGATTTTTCTACTCCTATAATACATTCACTGAGATTTTGATTTCCTGGTTTAAAGGAATTAGGAATACGTATAGTAAAGCTTCTTTTTTCATTTCATAGTATTTGCACTGAAGAACTTCTTGTAAATTCTATCTCTGACAATATTCTGATGCTTTACAGTCTGCTTTGTAAGAGATATGTAATTATGTATATCTTCTTGATTTCTGTGGCCTTGAAAATAGGGCAAAATAAAAATGTTATTAGACAAATCAAACAAACAAGCAATACTAATGTGTATAAAGAAATGTAAAATGTTGTAGTGTCACTTCCAAGGAATTGTAAAATTACAAAGATCCCTGTAAAAACATTGGTACAGAACACTACCATGAGGAAAAGGTGCTAGCAGAAAGATTCACACATATATGTAATCATTGCATATATGTACTATAGTCCTGAATTCTTCAGTGCAAACCCATCACACTGATTCAAGAAATACCTTCTTTTAGATAGTTGCCAAAACACACACACACACAATTTCATTTTTCTAAATGAATGAACAATATTAAAAGCATTCCTTTTAACAAGATTTAGTAGTGCGTTAAATGAAATGGAGTGCTCTGAATGAAACCAAAGTAAACCAAAAATTAGAAATTCTTAAAAAAAAACAAACAGTAAAACTTGGATTGACTTTACAAAGATTAAACTCAATGACCCTTTTATTTAAATATATTTTAGTAATAGAGTTTTTTTTCTGTCAACAGCTACATATGGCAGGGATAGTATTCTAACACTGGGAGAAGCCAGGCCAAAAAAGCCAAACACGATTGGCTTTAATTTAAACTTAAATTTAATTAATTACTGTTGCAATTATTATTCTTTGTGTATTTAACAATTTCTGTCTTCTGTCACATTAAATGACAATACGCTGGCAACTTCTGGAACAGTTCCAGAGGGTATATCCAAGACTTTTTGTGGGGGCATATGTAGCTCTGGAGTTGCAAATTGTGTCTTGTTTTAAATAATAAAAAATTCCAGTAGTTAATGATCACTGGGGCCATAATGGAGCTCTCCCTAAATCTCAATGAGCAAGATTTCAGGTGGGTGGTGGATAAAAGATTGAAAGTTATTCTACTTTCTATGGCCACATTGCCACAGACAGAATTATTTTACATATAGTTCTCCACTATCATAGCAGAAAATCTTTTGCACTATGAATACAAAGACATAATACATGCTTTTAGAATTAACATTTAACATGAATAAAGAAATTTGGATTAATCCTATTTGTGCCAACTCAGAAATCCCCAGGTAAATGTATTGCAGCTTAATATTTAAAGAATTTCATCTTGAAATCTAGGAATAGTTTCTCTGTGGAACTCTTGTATAACTTCTTATGATGACAAATAATTTACAGAGGCAAATATTGTAGGCAATTTGGGTCAATAATAATCTGTTTGTTACAATGAATTCATAGGGGTGACAAATCATCCATGATTCTGAGTAATGAAAGTTCCCTTTTTTATTATCTAAAGTACTCATTACTCATTTATTTAATGTAGAGTTATAAATTTTTCTTTTTTTTTTTTAAATGCTGGCTCAGGCATGATACTAAATTATGTGGCAGGTTTTTAACTATGATAACACAGAAAAAATAGTTTTTGATCAAAAGACAGAAAACTTTAGTGTTTTGCTATTAAAAATGACCTTTCAAATGATTTCCTCCAATTGCATACAGTCGATCATTCATTACGGCCAGTGTGTGAATAGCTCTCTTTGTGTTCATGTCTTGTTTTCTAGCCCAGACATCCATTATAGGGTCATAGCAATACAGCCAGGGGACATATTCACCATTATGGACACCACCTGCAAATCAAATACACCTTCATTAGTTACAGCTTTTAGAATAAAAATTGGGTTCAACCAATTTTATTTTTAGTAGATCAAAGGGAATCTAGAAAACAGCTTACCTGAAATATAGATTTTTCCATTATGCACAGCTCCTGCGTGTGCTGCCAAAGGTTGTGGTAGAGAAGATACATAACGCCACTCATTGGTCTCTAAATTATAGCATTCCACACTTGACAAGTAGCCAGTTTCATTTCTCCCTCCAATCACATACAAGTTCTTGTCAAGCCGACATGCATAAAAACTAGCTCTCCTAGAGGACAAAACAATGAATAGGGCAGTTAGTTTCCAGTGACTAGAATGAATTCTGTCGTCCTTATTTACAAAAGTTGCTCTTCTAAGAGCATTCATTGACTAATATATTTCAAAGAATTCAAAAGGGGTTTTCTTAAATGGTTGAACTTCCACTGTCCCCTTCACTCAACCGCCCGCCTTTTAACTATTGTTAAGAAAAGGAAATAAAACAGCCAATATTGCAAGATTTTTGAATGCAGCTACCCTTGGAATACGTGGTATAGTTCTCAAGGAAGGATATTGCAGAGATGGGGCAAAAATGCCAGGAAAAAAATCAAAAGAATTAGGAGGCTAGAAACTCATGCTATAAAGAAAGATTTGCAGCTTTTCAGTTTTAAAAAAGATGGCTATAGGGGCATGTTTCATTGTGTGGAAAAACAGCATACACAGAAAATGATTTTCCCATTCTCAAAATATTACAGTGTAAGAGAATACTCAGAATAACTGGAAAGCTCAGAATAAACAAAAGGAAGTACTTCTTCACACAGCACATCATTAAATTTTGGAATTTGATGCCCACAACACAGATGACTATAAAAGAGATTACACAAGTTCATAAAGTATAAACAATGCTATTAATGGCTGCTCTTCAGGATAGGAGATACATCGTTAAGCAGATCAGAGATATAGAAAAGAACTCCAGAACAACCTAAGAGAGCAGCTGTTTCTATGACCTAGTTGTGAGCTTTCATAAGCATAGTGACTAACAGAAGGCTGAACTAGAGACATCTTTTGCCTACTTGTTTCAAAAGCATGGAGGCAGAGACTTTTATAAGGAAGGGAAAACTGGAAAAGCAGTGTCCTGTATAAATGACGCTACGTTCTAAGTAGGCCGATATTAGCAAGGGTGGCATGGGGAAGAAACACAAAGAAAATACCTTGCTTTTCTGTTGCTGTCTGGAGATATTTTTCTCAGTAATAATCAGATGTTTTCAGCCATCTGCTTCCTCAAGTTCTATGTCTTACCCAGGCCAATGAGCTCTTTTTGTAATCAAAGCAGCTTTAGCACATGATATGAAAGGTACATCTTCAGGATACTTGCTATAAAAGTGTCATGGGCTTCTTGTAATCCAGCATCACAAGGGATCCTGTGACATGTAATTCATAGTGTGTGTGATCTGAGAATCAACCCCACTGTAGAGTCTCAAGGGATTCTGAGTACATCTTTTGGATCACAAAGCAACTCCTTGGCATACTTGTTTGATGAGTTCAAACCTGCCATACAGAGTAGATTTTCCTGCATACTCTCTCAAGAAAATGCCTGCTTTATTCTTTTTAGTGTATAGTTCTCAGTTTGTTCACTAGACTGTTCAGTAAACTGGATGTTTGGGACTGGACTCTGTGAGCCTTCAGAAAAATAATTTCTTTTTGCCAATTAACATACATTATAGGTGAGACAGAAGTTTACCTTAAAAATAATGCACTGTTAACAGTGGTGGATTTATACAGATACTCATTAATGTTTGGTGCATCTGGTATCAGGCAAGGATGTAACAACTCAGTAAGACAAGTTTAAAGTTGGGACAGATAATGTAACAATAATAAATTAGCTTGACATTCACTTTCTTTATGGTCCTTCAAGGGTCATTGTTCTCAATTTACTAAGAGAACCACATCATCAAATTTTTTCTTCAATTATCGTTTTTCCCCCTTCTTTCTGCACTACTGCAAACAGAACAACTTTCCTTGTATTACATTCGTTTTTTCCAAAAAGGATTTTTCTGGCAAACTCTGAACAAAATCTTATTTATCTACTTGTTTCCATGGTCAAAATAAATATAAAACTTTACTAAGGAATCAATATTGCTATAGAACTTCTTGCCAGATAGTGAGTTTCAGTAATTTTCAGCGCTTCTGAAAGCCTCTTCTAAGAGCTATTTTTTTGAGCACTCATTTCACTTATTCATTAAAAGTAATCTTGCACCCCTGTTGTTTTTGTGTACAAATAAATAAGCCAAGAAACAAAGCTTAACATTTAAATTTTTTTAAAAAATATTCTCTTACTTGATGGAATCCATAACAGAATTAAAACCTGTTACATATTTCTAATCAAAAGTTCAAGAATATTTTTAACATGGATATTTCTGCAGCATTTCAAACATGGGTTAAAGAACTGGAAAATCAATAAAGCCCCATCAATGGATTCATGTCCTTAAAAATGTTAAATTGGTATCAACAGATCTGAGATTAAAATTGATTCATCAAAAAGAAAAAAGGGTGTACTGGACTCCCCAAAGAATGTATTTGACAGGATGGACAAATCACACAGCCACTCCATAAGCAAACCACGTGCATCTTTTAATGTTTCTCCAGTTACATCATCTACACCTGCAGCCTCGCCATTTTTCAACATTCTTAGACACTTATACCTTCATTTCATCTTTTTCAGACACTAACATTTATAGTATTTGTTTCAATTCCCCTCTTCTACATATCACAATCATTCCCATGAAGTCGTCTAAAATACTTCTTCCAGCATTTCCTCACTTCAGGTTCTTCCTCTGAAAGTCAGAGCTGCCAAAATGGGAAACAAGAAACTCAAGAATCAGACATGTTCTTTATGTAAGCAGAGTGTAGAGAAAAACACAGGAAACAACCCCTTACAATGAAAGGGCAGGAAAAAGATGCTAAGGATTTAAATTATATTCCTTAAGACTCTGTAGAAGTGGATCTTTGTTGCTACTGCGATTACTTATAACTGCAATAAAGCTTCTTATGTACTCCAGCTGTGTTCTTTATTTTTCCATGAGAGCTCCAGAGTGCATTTGAATTCCAAGAGAGAGAATTACTGCAGTAGCTTGGACATAACCTGTGACATATTCCAAATTATTTCATCACTTTCATTTTAAATTCCATTTGCTCTCCTGGAGTCTTCTTTTTCAGCTCTCTTCATCCACTTCCAAAACAATTCTTTATTTTCATCTAAATCACTATGCATTTTCTTTCCTCCTTTAATTTTAACTATTCTTGCTCACTTTAGCTCCATGTTTCCAACTTTGTCTCTGTGCATATTATATATTTCTCTCATTTTTTTGCAGAAATAATTCTCTTATTTTCTGCTTTCCTCATCCACAGCTGCTGCTGCTTCATCATTCCATCAAGCATCTTTTTTTTCCTATTTCCTATAAGAATAACTTGACCTGCTTATGCAGTTCACTGTAATGTTTTTCTTTTCACTTTTGGGAGATTCTTTTATTTATTTTTTTCATACTGGGCTCATACTTCCTTTCTTGCAGTCCTTTTAATCTTCTTTCTGGTTTCTTTCACTTTTTTCCTTTTCTTCCATATGCATTTTTTTTCCAAAGATCCACTCCTGACACTACTAAGAAAATAATCTGCCTCACGTTCACACCATGTATCTTTCACTAATTCTCTCAGTCTTTCTTAATACACAAATTAGCCATGTAACAAAACAAAATGGATTTATGTTCATTTCCTTGAAATATATAAATATGAATAGACTTATGTTTAAACTACATACTTAAAACAAAGGGACCCTTTTTTAAGCAAATATTCACCAGTCATCATTTTCATTCACTCATGGATCTCTGAAATAACCCACTTTTTCAGAACTCTCTTGTCTTGTTCCCTCTTTATCCCTCCATTCATGTCACTTAACAAGATGTTTCACAATTTTTCCCAACCTCACTACTGTTTCTTTCATTATCATATTTACCAGAGTGTAATAGGCTACTATCACCAAAACATGGATTCCAACTTTTATGCACATCCACAATAACCTAGAGATATAGATTCATACTTTCTGACATACAACCATTCCCCTTTCTTTATACTTTCTGACCATACTTCTTGAGCATTATCACCTTCTCCTTTCTCTTATTTTCACACACATACAACACATCTATTTTTTTCTTTAATTTCATTGGTTAATTCATGCTCTTACAGTCCAAGTCATAGTCTTCCATATGTTGTGGTTGTCACCAGATGGATTCATAAATATACAGTAGATCTCCACCATACATCATGACTTTGGCCAACTGATAGTTTCACATAATGCTTTTTATTAGGATAGAAGTGTGGACTGATTTACCAACTTTAGTTGTATCCATACTACATGCAACATTCCCTAACATTCTGACACATTTTTGCCAGTTATACTGTAAGTGTACTCATGCAAAGTAGGAGGTACATGCAGTATGTGACATGCACTCAGAGTGCATGTTTAAACAATTAAAAATGAACAGGTAGTCCCCAGTTAAAGAACAAGTTCCATTCCCAAGGTCTGACCTTAAGTCAAATTTGTATATAAGCTGGAACAGTATTATTGTATAATACTATATAAGTAGTATTGTGTAATTAACATGAACCATTGTGTATTTAACTCGAATCATTGTGTATTTAACTCTAATTTTGCTACAATAGGCTATGTTCTTAACTACGGGTCGTCTGTAAACCAGGCATTCTTAACCCGGGGATTACCTGTATTAGATAATTTAAAATATTCTCTTTTTAAGAGTAGTTCCTTATTTAGAAACAAATTTTGTAACAAATTTATTGCCTGTTTGCATTTTTTACTTCATCCACATAGTGTCACTGTTAGGAGCAGAAATATAACAGTGTGCTTCAAGTTTAAAAATGTATTTTATTGGCAAATTCCTAGTAGTAAAGATTTTAAGTTTCTTTTTCCACTAAATAAATTACATATGAGCCACAGAGCTCTAGTTAATTAATGTAACATTTAATTGCTATAAAAAATCTTCCATGCTAAAATATTACAGTGAAAATTCAGTTTCAGAAAGGAATAATCTCCTCATATATATCAGATCACCAGAAATATCTTACTATCTCTGGTAAAAGAAATTACATCAAATTGTTCTTCTGTATCTGGATGTTGGTCCAATCAGAAATCCTTCAGTGGCTTATGAAAAATGTCCCCATAATGAACTTAGGTAAATTTTACACTGTGGTTAGATGGGAAAGGTAAGAACTTCCTTCTTGAATCCCACAGACAATGAATTTCTGCCCAGAATCTTGCAGGTTGATAATCAGTCTTATACTAATTCTGGTACTATGACTAATCATATCAATGCCAAGTTCTTTTAGAGAGACCCTTTTCATTGAAGAGATT